TAATCTAGAATTACAACACACTTGGACTTTGTTTCTAAAATATAGCTTTAACATCTATTCTCAGGAGAAGCTCTGCTTCTCATCCTAGCTCCTCACCTCCTGTGCACATTTTTCACTCCTGGAATCCGGCTTGTGCTTTGCCATCACTGTCATTGACAAGCTCCAGGACACTTAGTTCACCTAGTCCTCTGAGCTCTTGAATTCCATTTCTCAAGAGCTTCTATAGTTGAACTAAGTATCTTCTGCAAGATTTTTTCCTTTTTTAACTTCACACTTTCCTGTGATCCTCCTGCCACCTTTCCCACTCCATCTATGTGTTCTCTGCTGGGTGATTCTCTTCTCCTTGGTCACTAAATGTTGGCATCCCGACAGCATCAATCTGTGCTCTGTCACAACCTCCCTGCCTTTCCAGGGGAGTGCATGTAGGCCTTTGCCCACTGCACTAGCCCTCTGAGACTATAAGTCCTATAAGTCTTCCAAGCCTGTTTCCCGTCATCTGTCTGGCTAAGGGAGATACTTGAAACACCGCTTACACCTCACCCCTTTCAAGACATGTCCCATGGGTATGGAGAATGTGGTATGTGGATAGCTTTCAACTATGGGTTCCTTGGGGCCATTGCAGGTGTCAAAACAAAGACAAGGTGGTGATGTTGTAGCCAGGAAGTGGACCATGGCCGCGCCATATCACAGAGCCCCCTGCACTGGCAGAGACTCTACGACTCTGGATTGGGGCTGACAGTGCTTCTTGTACAATTGTTTCCTCTACTTTCCCTTCACAGATTTTCTGCCTCAACAGACCTATTAGACTTCTAATCCCATCAGTTGTAGTCAGGGGTTGTAAGGAGAATAATTGCATACAGGACACAGAATTTATAATATTATTTTATGATGGTCACCCAAAGTTAAATACAGGAAAGTACAGGGAATCTGTCTACAATGCTAAAGATGTAGAAAATCCAGCTGAGGGCCTGGATCCTATAGCAATATCCTGTGTGAGTCGAGATAAAGACCTAGAGCCCATGACAATGCTCCCCATGAGTCCAACTGGAGGTCTAAAGCCCACAATAATGATTCATGCAAGTCTGTTTTATGGATCTGCATTGGGAAGTCCCAAAGGTCATAAGTGGAAGCTAAAAAGTTTATGCCAGCTGGGTAAAGGAGCTATGCTGGTAGGTTCAGGGTTCTACAATGGAGCCAAGAAGTCACACTCATAATATAGACCAGGGATGCCCTGGAAAGTACCACAGCCATCCACAGCGACACTCAGGTCCCAAGATCCTCTGACAATGATAACAGTCAAGTACATGCCAGAAAGCTAGTGTGACAAGCTTTTCCTTGAAGTTAAACAGCACACATCTTCCCCTCCAGAGCCAGGAAGTGATGCTCCACTCCTTCAGTGATAATGGCCAAATTTATAACAGGGAAGTCAGCATGACAACTTCCTCCAGGAAGGCCAATGGCTCCAAACAGCAACACTTAGGAAAACCCACAACACCATGCTCTTCCTCTCCACTTCTCTTTTTATGCTGGCAACTTTCCTCAGGTGAGCCGTCTGCATTCAGCAACATGCTGATTTAATTCAGCTGGTGTTAAATTGCCCACCAGTGTTTCATCCATAACACTATCTCAGCATTCCCTTCCTAGAAAACCCCACATCTGATAATAGGAGCTGTCCAAGGAGCCTACTCACATGGAGGGATGGCAGTGAGCAAAGTGGGTGGCTGTACTGGTGGCACAGTGACGCTGGACAGAGAGCACTTGCTATGGAGCAGGACCAAACAATGGGGTGAAGTGAACTCACCAGTGACATCCCAGACATGTTGGCAGTCTCTCTGGGGCTCTGATTGTACCACAGTCACAGATGCAATGGCCATGATGGGTGCCAAGGCACAGGCACCATGGCTACCGGGACAGGTACCAAAGGCCAAGGGTCCAGCCCAGCCTAGCTCCTCCGCACGAGCTGTCTGGTCCCACCAGAACAGCAGTGATGGTGGCCATTTGTGATTCTGCATGGCAACATTAACTTTTCCAACATGAATCAAATTAGATCTGTGTTTGTAGCCACACCACAGGGACTTCTTTCTCACATGTTTATGTTTGTTTCATTTTCCTCTTTTCTGAAAACACTATTATCTCTAATGTGACTTAGAATGTGACCTTTCAAAACTCCAAATAATACTGTAATCACAACAAATTAATCCATTAGATACTCTAGTTTACACTCAGGTTATGAGGAACTGGAGCCTAAATAGTCATAAAATGTCACAGAACAGCATGAGAATACAATCATGCTATTTCGACAGTCTAAAAACATCAGAGACTATGACCTTGAAGAGATTAGGTAGCAATGTGCATCCAACAAGATGGTCATGGTGAATAGCTCTGCACTTTGACTCAAAGGTTTCATGAAGAAAATCTAAAATAAAAGGCAACCATTTAGTTTTCTCTTATTTATATGGGATCAGGAATTTGGCCAAACTTAGGTGAGGCTACTTGAATTAAGTGAATAAGCATATTAATTTCCTATTTTTCAGCTAAATTTGCAAGAGAAAATCCCATCCTCAAATGTACATAGTGGCTGGCAGAGATTTTTGCTCAGAGTAATCCTTTTAATATCAAGGAAAACAATAAAGTTGAGGAACTAGGGACTAGGAAGTATGGAATGGACTCATCAGACCCAATTCTGCTTTTCCAGAAAAAAATGAAGCCAAATGAGCCATTGCAAACTAGTATTGAATTATTTTCCTCAAAAATGGGTAAAGTAATAAATTAAAATAAGAAACAAAACATTTAAGGAACACCTGTTAGGAAATCCTTTCTTTGATCCAGTTTTCTAGGAATGGTTATATCATCTCTGTTTCTTGTTATTTTCATCCCAAAATGGAGGCAGGAAGGACACTGTGAAAGCATGTGGATACTGGCATACTGATAGGGCTAAGGTGCTTGATTCATGGAGTTACAGTTAGGACGTCTGAAGGACGCGGGCTCTTGCCACAGCATGGATCTGGAGTGAGAAGACAGGAAAGAGTGGCTGGTACTCAGTCAGCCCCCAGAGGTGGCTTTACATCAGCCAGCTCTTCACAGTCTACAGCTAGGTTGCCCATATGCTATACTTCATCTGGCTAAGCCAGCTCAGCAAGACTGGCAGGTAAACTCCAACTCCAGGATATCATTTGCAAAGGGAAGTCTATACTGCCACGTGTTCCTAAGTGCCTACACCTTCTTTGTCTATAGGAATACCATATGGGTAGCTAAATTACAGCCCAAATGTTTCTTAGTGATCATAACCTTGGAGCAAGAGGTACCATTTTTATGCCCTTTATGGGCCAGTGTCTTCTGTCTGTAAGCACAATCAGCCCGTGCTTCTGTACTCTTCATCTTTCTGAAATTTCAAAGCTAACAACAGAACCCCCACACCATCTGACCAATACATTTTCTTTAACTACCACATACATTCAGGCAAGTTATAGTTCAATGCTCCTGCTAGGCAACGTTCTTCATCTTTAGAGGTTTTACTATTTTGTGATGTGATATTTTCAAAACTCAAATACTCCATAGGCTTCTAAAGTCTCTCTGAAAAGAAAGGGAGCTCATCTTCAACCCCAAATATTCATCACACACAGTCATCTTGAGTGTCATAAATTCTTCCTTCACATATCTTCAAAGTATTCTTTGGTCAGGATACTGTTCTAAACCAAACAGTGTGTGTAGGGCGGAGGAGTTGACCAGGAAGTGTCAGCATTTGAACGTGCAATTTGTTTAGCCATAACCAGTCCCCAGACAACAGGCCAGAACCTCAAAACACATGCATAATGAAGGAAAGGATAATAAAATCAAGACACATCAGAAACAAGAAAAGCAACTGGAAGTCATGATCCTTGAGTAATGAAACCAGGAGCATAATGACTGGTCAGAAAACTGTAGGCAGGAACTAAGAGTCATGGGGGCACACTGGTATCAGTGTCTATGTAAAAGGTGCTTGTTGGAGTTTATTTGCACAAGGATAGCACTTACCAAAATGCTGGGCTGGATCACCAGGTTGGATCACGGACAGCCAGGAGAAGGACTGGCCATGGAACTGAAGAGGAAGAGCAAGGAAGGTAGGACAAACAACAAGAGGTCATGTCCCTCAGAGGCTTAAGAACTCACCTGCTTTGTGTGTTAGAAAGCCCTTCTGCCAAGGCAAAAAGACATTGGCATAGTGTGACTGGTCAGTGCATGTAACTGGAGCAATCTGTATTCCTAGCTAGAGGGAGAGGTGAGCAAGGAAAAGGGCAAATCAGAAGAGGAAGAACCATTTACTAAGTGAAGCTTTTAGTCAAGATTCCACACTGGATCTACAGTGATTTTCCAAACAAACATCCTGTTCTACCCTGATGGAACTGTTGAGAAAAATCTGTGGCCTGGAAATGGTTGAGAAATTAATAGGATATATTCCATGGGTGGCATTCTTTCTACAATATTTCTGAGGAAGGTGCAGAATTTAAATTATCATGAGTGCATATTAGATAAATCCAGATGGAAGGACATTTTACACAGTAACTGGCTTGTAATTTTCATAAGTTTCAAGGTCATAAAAGTCAAGGAAAGCCCAAGAAGGAGGCTAGAGAAACAAGACAAACATGATTTTGGAAAGGATTCTTCTTTTTATAAAGTACACATTAGGATAACTAGTGAAATTTGAATGATCTGAGACCTAGTTGATACGATATGTCAACGATAGCTATGGGAGAAGGACACACGGACCTTCCTGGGCTGTAGTGCATCATCAGCAACCTACTTTCAGAGAGTTTAGAAGAGCTCATGACACTACACTTGCAACTTTTCTCTCAGCTTGATATTAATTCTGTTTTGAATTTTTAAAAAACACAGTGAGGAAAATCTATGTACATTATTAATTTTAAGTCTTCAGTACTTATGAATAAAGAAACTGACTTTCAAGTGTAAATTAACTTGCCCAAGGGTAAATAACTAAGCAGTGACAGAATATGACAATAAAGTGGAAATTTTCAGGCTAGTTTTATAAAGATCTCTCCCTGCAGGAGACAATTCTACTATGTTATTTTGGGTCATTTAAAATTGTCCAGTCCATGATCTCAGACCTTACAAGAGCTTCTGTCTTCAAAGCTGACTTTAAATCTAGTTTCTGGTTCCATTCTTGCTGTGATGTTCAAAGTAGGCAGAGAGAGGTCTTTAATCACTTTGGGTTTAGGTCACTTAAATCCAGTTCTCCAGAAATGGTGGGGAGAGGCTGGGAATGAGAGATGTCAAGTAAGGAAAGGGTTCTTCTTATTCAATATAACTGTCTTTGTTTTTACACGTTCCACTTCCACTTTCTATATCACCTCTCCTCAAGGGACAGGCTGGAAGCGTAGTATGTTCTGGGAGAAAGGACTGCATCTCCTTCTTCCAAACTGATGTAATGACATGCCCACAGATCATTCTTTGCATTTTCACATATTGTAAAGAGTAATTTGCAAATGCAGTGTTTCCATAGTGTTCTCTGAATGCATTCTGCAAGATCTTGATTCTAATTTAATATCCTTTCGTTCTTGTCAACAGTTCATCTAAGTGCTGGCATCTCTCCCAAGCAGCATATGCTCCATATTTGTTCTTGCTTCAATAACTATTTGAGAAAACAATGACTAGCTATTAATTTGCCATTTGCCAATAAATATGGTGAATTTCTTTGACTATCAGTCTTGTCTCTGATGCTCACACTAAGATATTAGAAAGTCTTGTGTCCTTTTGGGTCAATGTGCTGAGCCTCAATCTTGTGCCTTCCTCTTTCATCATTCTCTACTGGTCTCAAGCATTTTAAAAGCTCATTCTACTGCACTCCTGATAGATTATAAAATTTTCTCACTTCAGACTTTGTGAACATGTTCTTTCAGTTATAATAACATAGTCAAAATCTGTCTTTCCCCGATGATACTTTTAGCCTTGAAACCTGCTTAATGGGTTAATTTTTTATTTTCCCCAATTCATATAACAAGAAAGCTAAGCCCTTCTTTGCTTCTTTTGACCTTTAATTGTCCTCAGGCAACTTCCCCTTTGACTTACACACTGCACTCCATCTTGTTCAACTGAACTTTCTTAGCTTCATGATCCATGTACTGGATCTAAATGATCTCAGGTGCATCTAGACCTATAATTATAGAATAATGTCATGATAATTGTGAATTCATCCAAATCACAACAGCTTAGACTCCTGTTTCATGATTACTGGGTTTTTCTACCTTGTGGAGTGCTCCTCAGTTAACTGCTTCCTCCATGTCTTCCAGTCATCTGGTGTGCTACAATTGCCACATCATGTTTTCCATGCTCTCTAGACCTCCTTCTCTAGTTCTCTCGAGTTTATAAACATTGCTCTTGAAGCTGCCTACAGTGAAAATATTTTCCCAGTCCTACTGATGGTTTCTGAGAGGAAAATTCCTTTGAAAAGTGCAGTCTATGAGGTGGATATAACTCAGTGGCAAATGGCCACCTGGCAAGCACAAAATCCTGAATTCAATTCCCAGTCACCACCCCCCACCAAAAGTGTAGCCTAAGTAGAAACAGATATATAGAAAGTTTGCATCATTAAAACTCACAGAAATAAAAATACAAACCAAACACAATGAGATGCCATTTCAATCCGGTTACAGTGGCTACTGTCAAAAACACAAAAAATACAAATTATTGGCAAGGAGACACAAAAAGCATAAGTCCTTTATACTGTTTGTGGGAATATAAATTATAGAGAAGTGTAAAAGTTTTTTTAAAATGCTAGAAATAGAACTGCCGTTAGATTCAGCAACCCCATACTGACAAATGTCCAGGGAAGTGAAAACTGTGTCAAAGGCATTTCTGCACTCTCATGTTTACGGCAGCATAATCCATGATGTGCAAACCATGTAACCAGCCCATCAGTGGATTAATGGGTTAAGAGCCATGACAGTATGAAAAGGAAAAGCAAACAAGATGTGGGAAGGAAGAGCCATCAAGATGGGAGATGGAAGACACACCAAGATGGGGGAAGAGTCATTAAGACCGGAAGGAAGAGACATCAAGATGAAGGGGCTGGGGATTTAGCTCCTGCCTTGCAAGCAGGCAGTCATGAGTTTAATCCCTGGTACCGATAAAAAGGAAAAAGACAAAAAAAAAAAAAAAAGATGGCAGAAGGAAGAGATATCAAGGTCAGGGAAGGACATGCCACCGCAGTCTCCAAAGCACTGTGTAACATACTTCCCAAACAGAGGGAAATAGATATTTTCCTTCCAAACCTAGAGGATGTGATTCATAACTTTTAAGATTTTGTTAGAATTGAGTTTCTCCTTTTAAACAATTGGAAGAAATAGAACTATATGCTTGGATTTCTATTCAAAATTTTATGAAAATAAAAGGATTTAAGAATATTGGACTCTAATCCTAAGAGGATATGGAAATGGTATGAATACCCCAGTCAGTTGCAAACCACTTACCCTACAAGAATTGAATTTTCTGTCTTCTTTGACAAATACATGAAAAACTTAAAAATTGTACATATAGGCTGGACACCATGTACTGTTTCATTGCATGTAAGCACCACAGGATGAGAAGGTCAGGCTGAACATGAATCTCCTCAAACTTTGTCATTTTTCCATCAGAACTTTCAAGATCCTTTCTTCTAGCTTTTGGATGGCCATCATACAGTACAACAGCACATCAGAACTTCCTTCTCCTTTCAACAGTAACTTTTCCCTACCTCTCTCTCCACTTCCTCTTCCTGTTCTCTGGTAATCTCACCATACTCTCAACTTTTATGAGATCAACTTTTTTAGATTCTGCATATGGCTGAAATCATATGGTCCTTGTCTTTCTGCACCTGGCTCATTTCACCTACCATAATAATCTTCAGTTATATCTGTATTGATGCAAAGGACAGAATTTAATTTTTATGGTGGAATAATATTGGACTATGTACATGTACCACATTCTCTTTATTCATTAGTTGACAGTTACCAGAAAGTTCCCATTTCTGGCCAGTATAAATGTGCTGCAGTGAATGTGGGAGTGCAGACATCTCTTTGGTAGGCTGATTTACTTCCTTGGATCTGTAGCCATAGTGGGACTGCTGGATCCTAGGGTGATTCTAATTTTTACTGATTTGAAGAATTCCCACACTGCTTTCCATAATGGCCAAACCAATTTACATTTCTGCCAACAGTGGATCAGGTTAAGCAACCTAATTTTGAAATTCCTATTGCATAATTAAAGTTGTTATGGTGAAGATATAGGTAGGAAAAACCTAGCAGGAAAAAGTTTCAGGTTCTTTTCAGGTTTACCCACCGAAGGAGACAGATTTCTAATACAGTATTAACTATGATCCACAGCCATTTGTAACATTAGGTCGGAGGCTTTTCATAGCGTGTGTCTCTTCAGCAACTGGTCAACAAGGCAAGGCAGCACGGGCTTTTTTCAGAAGAGATTCCTGAGAAAACACAGTACTAGTTCAACATTGGAAGTGTTTTCAGTAGAGACTGATTCTGTAGCAGATGGCTCTTTGGCAAAGAAAAGAAGGAAAAGGCAGCAGCGTCCTGTGAAAACAAAAACAGAGCTTCTCCAATTACTATGGGATAAAGACAAAAGGTATCACTTTATTTCAGACAGTGACTATGATAACCTTATGCCTTTCTGTGCCAGGTTGAACCAACACAGACCAAAGTTAGGCATAAATATAAACTTGTGGTGGGAAACATAAAACACAGAAGAAATACAATGCTGATTCTCTGCTAAAATCATCTACCTTCCTACCCTAGGTTTGTTAAAATAGCATATCTGCTGCAATGGCTGTAATTTGAAAATATGATTATATATAATAATATTATGAAGTCTAAACAGACAGTCCATAGAGACTGCCTTTCTAATTCTATCAATCACCATTTTATTAAATTAAAAATTATAAATATCATATTTCTTCACAAGGTCTGTCTATTTATGATGCAGTCATTATGAAAAACATACTACTATGATTTGGAATTTAATTTGGTATTGCTGTATTTAATACAGTGTATATATTTTTAATTAGATAGGCATTAAAAGATCAGACTGATATTTTAGGTGAGTAACCTGCTTGACTATGGTGGGGTTTGTTTGTTGTTTTGGCAGTACTGTACTGAAGATTGAACCCAAGACCTTTGCACTGAAGTACATCTCCAGCCCTTTTGAAAAACTTTTTATTTCAGGCCCTGCTGAGCCTCTAAATTGTCCAGGTTGGGCTGAAGTTGAAGGTCCTCCTGCCTCAGGCTCCCAGAGAGCTGAGATTACAGACAAGATGTGGACTCATGTCTTTGGATTTAGATGTAAACATGATCCAAAAATACTTTAGCTTTCATGCAATTACTAGCATCTGTTATACATAATAGAAGGGAATTCTTTAAGAGGAAATATCTCTTTACCTACTACTCAAAATGCTCTCCAGTTACATGAAAGCCAGCAATTTTCAAGAAGAAAGAAGTACATTTTTAGAAATGGAACTTACTATATCCCTCTTCATACTCATTGGCAATAGATTGCCATTTTGGAATTCACCTTAAAATAAACTGAAACAATATCTAGACGTCCTCTGCCTGCTGTCACAGGCTAATGTCGATATGTTAAAAACATTCTTGATAACCAAAACCTTTTCTTCACTGCAACAGACTTCTTGCCTAACAAATCCTATACAACAGTAAAACACACACAAATGCTCACACAAATGACAACAGTATTCTTGCCTCATCATTCCTTTTTTGTTATTTATTCTTTGTTGTTTGGGATAAACACAAATAATATCTTCCACTTTTAGAGAACTTAATACTTGTTAGACACACATTAGTGTGTTGACTAAGCAAGACCAATGGACACTGGGCCACTTTTCCTAATATTTACAATTTTATCTAATGACACTAAGTGATTTGATTTGTATTATTTTTTAGTCTTGATTAACTTGTTAATCATGAGCAAAGTTTACAGGTAATTGCCAGGAATTTAGTGAATTAATATGTTAATCAAAAAACTTTGAACTTCCGCCAGAATGTTTATTGTCTATTCCTATTTATTTATTTATTTTGGCTTTTTCATTTTTATCGGTACCAGGGATTGAACTCACAACAGCCTGCTTGCAAAGCAGGTGCTTATGCCGCTGAGGTAAATCCCCAGCCCCTATTGTCTATTCCTAAAGAGCTGGAATTTTGTCTTTTCACCTCCACCACAATTTCTGTGCCTCAAATGGTGCTCCACACAAAGGAGGTGCCCAGAAAATGTGCTGGATGAAATGAGAAAACTGCTGGCACCAATGTGCAAATTCCTCAGGAGCTTTAAATGTCATGGAAACTCCTTGTTTCTTTCTCTATCACAGCACATTCTATCCATGGAAATTAGACATACATTGGCTGGAGGAGAAAGCATCAAATTCAGAATAAGTTTTTAAATGCTAGAGAGCTTTGTCATGTTTAGATTGCAAAGCACAATGCCTGTTCCTTCAGTTTATTATCTCTGAGGTCTTGTCTGCTGTGACACATAACTAGACATCCAAGCCCCCAGATTGCCATCTGTGGGAACATCTGTGGGGAAAAAAAAAAAAAAAAAAAAATATATATATATATATATATATATATATATATATATTGCTGAACAATAGGGACATCTGCTGGTTAACATGACATGTTCTCTTACAATATTGCATCGAGATAAACAAGACATGAGCAATAAGATTTAGAATGATACCAAATGTGCGACATTGTTAAAATAACCTTCCACTTGAATAACAATAGGATCTAGTATTTGTTTGTTTTGTTTTAGTAATGTCCAGGTAGTGAAAATTAGAACTGTCCTGGAGATAGCAGCTGTTGCAAGATAGAAACAGCTGGTTCCTGGTTCTTCTGATTTAAGACACTTCTGGATTAATATATTTGCTTTTGATACCAGCAAACAATATAAGGTATTATACTGCACAATGACAAGCACAGCAATAGCAGGCTGCCACAGGGCTCCATTATGTCTCCAGACACATGAGACACAAGCTGATGCTTGCAATGGCAGGGATGCTGCATAGCCCTCGAGAAGATGGAAACTCTGTATGGAATATGTCACGTATGGGTGAACCTTGAAGACATAACATGAAATAAAATGTCAGTCTCAGAAAGACAAATACTATGATTCCACTTAAATGAAATCTGAAATAATCAAATTCATAAACTCAAGGGTCAAAACAGAGGCTACCACAAGTTGAGGAGTCGAGGAAATGGGGAGTTTCCCATCAACAGGTAAAATTTCCAGCAAGATGAAAGCTCTAGAGATCTGCTGTGTAACATTCATACCTGCACTCAAAAGTAGTGTATAGTACATTTAAAAGTTAGCAAGAGGGGAATAGTAAGTATCCTTACCACAATACGATAAACTTTTAAGGACTGAGTTGACATCTCAGGAGTCTTAGGTAGTGCATACTCTCACCATTTTATAATTATCGGACCAGTTGCTTTCTACAAACACGCTCTTCTTGCACTAGGTATTCAAATGCCTTTCGGACTCCACCACCTACTATGGTGATTTTTCCTTTCCTTTCCAGATTCTTTTTAAATGTTTTCTCAGGAAGTCCTGCTCTCAATACTCTACATAAAATGTTTTTAGAAACTTTTGCTTTCACTGGATAGGAGTATGCTATAGCATAGCAACTTTTCATAAAAGTAATTTCATCAACATTTAATCACTGATGAGATTCATGAAAATGTTACTGAAAAGCTTGAGTCCAATAGAGGTAATCATAACTAGCAAGTGCAGATCTATGTACCTACCTACCTACCTATTATGGTTTATATCTAGATGTCCCTCCAAAGCCCCATGATCTCATAGTAGAATTTTGGGAGGTGACTAGGTCATGAAGACATGATACTCATCCCTGGATTAATCCACGGATGAGTTTATAGCTGAATTTCTGTTAGGAGGTGTGATATGGTCTGAAGAGTTGGGCCACTAGGGGTGTGGCTGAGAATGGTTTATCTTTTCCTTGCAACTCTCCCCCACTTTGCTTCCTCTGCCTCCTCCTTCCCTCTCCCCATCTCTCTCTCCATACTTGCCATTACACTGTGAGCCAGGCCTTTCCACCACACCACCCTGCCTTGCAACCTGCTGGATATGGGACTGAAACCTTTATAAATTGTGAGCCAAAATAAATCCTTTCTTCTTTAAATTGCAAATCTCAGGTATAGAAAGTGAATAAGACACTATCTATCTCTAGAAATATTTACTGTGTTATAAATACCTTTATACTTTGTTTTGAATAGAAATAGTTCTCATGCTTTTTCTACAAAACATTGAATCCTTAATTAGATAATATTTAAAATCTCATGCATTCCCTATATACATATTGATTGAGTAGTGAGACAGATATAACTGCAGGGAGATGTTCTATGATTCAAATTGTGTTATGGGCAGTCTGTACCTTTAATTATTCAAGATAGAGGTACAGAAATGTTACATCCATTTTTAAAATTACTGATACTGATATATGTATTTTTAGTTTCCAGCTATGGTTCTTGGCTCATAACCCCTCCAAAGGAAGGCCATGAAACATTGAACGTCTTTTCACCAACATGAGCAATAGAAGCTCTCGTCTTACCAAAATTTTTGTCTGGGAGCTGGTCATAAAGAAATTCTCTGACCAATCTTATGTCACAGTAGATGATAAGAGCCCCTATTTTGGAAGGAGACCTACTTTGCACCCATGAGCAATGTGTGCTACACAGAGAGGTCAGGCAGGTCTTGTTGGGTTCCCACTAAGCCCATCCATTTTAGATCACATCTCCTTTTGTCCAGTCACTTGTCTAAGTGGCTGTATATGCTTCAGTTACACCTGTGTGAAGAGCCTCCATCAGAAGCCAAGGCAGCCTTCACAGAGCTCCTAGACAGTGAGATATGTGGACATTCCTGAAGCACGGTATGGAAGTTCTGTGCCCCTTCTTCCATGTCTTTCCTATGCATCTCTTCAACTGAAACTTGTAATATTCTTTATTTTTTTGTGGCTACCATAGTGTTTCTTTTTTTCTTCAAAATAGTTGTCCATACCTTTACACACAATAATTTCAAACATAACAAAATAGTATAAAACCAATCAAAAGAATGAAAGCATTACAGGACTCCAAAACCAGATAACAGGAAATGATCAATGGTTACTACAATGTCTCATTTTCTTCAAAAGAGTTGCCCATACCATCACACATAATAAAATCAAACAAAACAATAAAACCAATTAAATGAAAGGACTTCAAAACAAAATAGGAAACCAACCATGATTACCATAATACATCCCATTATGTTCAAAATAGCTGCCCATACTATCAGAAACAGTAAAATCCAACAAAACAAGACAGAACAAAGCCAGACCTAAAAGAATTATGAAAATGAGTTCAAGACAAGACAATAAGAAATTAACCAGTAGTTACTATCTTTTCCTATCACTTTTACAATATCTATTTTGCTTTTTGGATACCATTAACTTGTTTTTTATGGTAGGGTTCATCCATATGAGTTCAAATTGTTTTGCCCATCAACATGATTTCCAGTTTCATCCATTCACCTACAAGAGCCTCAAGATTATTCTACTTTATGGCTGGGTAGCTTTCCAGGGAGATGGTATTGTATGAAAATACCCATATCTCTTTTATCCATTCTGCAGTTGATGGGCAAGTTACCCTTGCTATTTTTCTGGTCTCCTGTCACATGGAACAATTGTTTTCTCTCCTTTGATTTTCAGTCTGTTTCAGGTTAAATGTTTTTCTAGTATATATTGATGGATCTTGTTTCTTGATCCACTCTCCCTGTTTCTTTTTATTGCTGAATTGAGGCCATCTACATTAATGGTTACATGCCATGCTATCCTTCTGCTGTTGGTCCTCCACTTTTCCCCTTCATTCAGTTGCCTATCTTGTTTGGCGATCTTCCTCTGCTGCTGTTCCTGGAACCATGGTCATCTTTCTCTCTCTCTAGAACATCCTTTAGCACTCTCTGTAGGATTGGTTGAATTCCTTCAGTTGTTCTTTATCATGGAAGTATATTATTTTTCTATCAATTCTGAAAGATAGTTTTTCAGGGTACATCAATCTGGGTTGGAAGTTGTTTTCAGGATCTGAAACACTGCACTCCAAACTCTTCTTGACTGATGATTTGTGTTGAGAAGTCTGCCATGATTCTGATTGGTTTTCTTTTATAGATTACCTGTTTCCTCTAACAGCTTTTAATATTCTGTTCTTGTGCTGAATTTTTGGAATCTTGATTATTATGTTTGGGTGTAGATTTACTTTGGTTATGGCTAACTGGAGTTCTATATTCCTCATTTATCTATATGCCAGATCATTTTCCCATGTTTGGGAAATTTTCTGCTATTACTTTTGTAAATAGCCTTTTAATTTCATTTGTGTTGATCCCTGCTTCTACACTGATACCTATCACTCTTAAATTATGTTTCTCTGCATCATCTTGCAGACTTTGAATTACTTCCTGATTTCATTATTTTTAAGAGATCTTTCCTTTCACAATCACTAGCTATGATCCTGTCTTCAAGGTCAGAAAGTCTATCTTTAGCCTCTTTCAAGTGGTTTTTCTAGCTTTTGATTGACTTTTAAATTTCCTAATTATTGCTTTAAATCTGTTTCTTGCATTGTAATTACTTTCTATATTGTTCATTCAAGGTTTCCATCATTTTCCTATGCTCTTTATCTATGTCATCTTCAGACATGCTGAGCAATTCTTTATGTTTGTGATTTCTCCTTTTACCTGAGACAGTTCTGATTTGACCGATTTTACAGTCCCATGAAATTATTTCTTCAGTTGCTATCCTTTCAGAGATTTCAGGCATGTAATTTCCATTTTCTTCTAGGACTGTATCTCCCAGACTTGCTGTGTGTGGGCCAGAGGTCTGAGATTGCCTTTGCTCCTTCATCTTGACATTCTCCTGGGTTCCTCCCAGCAAGCTGGTAGTGGGGCCCCATGTACTTCCTACTTTTGCAGCCTCTCTGCAGTGTGGGGGAATGGGACAGGCACCTGGATTCCTCTGACCCTAGATTTACAGGGAGGTAGCAAAGCATGGGGTGGGCTTCTCCAATGGCCAGGGGGCACATAGCAGGGGGGCTGCTTTCAGCCTGCATGTCTACACCAGAACTCCCACGATGGTGGCAGGCACACAGGGGTGTGTTTGTCTGATTCTCCTAATGGGAGATGGCTACCTGAAGGAAGCAAGGGCCTCTAATGGTGGCCACAGGTACATGGGGCTTATTTGGCTGCATGTCTCTGCTCCTGCTGGCTGCCCACAGGAAGCAGCTTCCTGGTGACAGTGGCTAGCAGGCTATGATGGGTCTGCTTGCTCTCTGCAATATTCTTTAGAATAAGTCAGTAAATAGAAGGAAATGTTGCCCTGACTCCTGTAAGCCACTCATGTAAGTTCAGAGAACATGGCTGTGAGAATCCCAAGTTACACCTGGTGGGCTTGAAGCACATGTAAAATCACCTGCAACACGTGTCTGGCATAGAGTATGAGTGGAGGGTCCTGTCTTGGGGGCCTGTGCCTATCTTCAGATAGACAGATTTAAAACTGAACTGGACAATACCTAGCTGGCATCTGCTGTAGAACTGAGTTTGCTTGCTGGTAAAAAGCAATTCCCTCACCTCTTGCTTCTTCCATAGAATTATACTAATATGAAAATACTAAAATGAATATGAATATGAAAATACTAATATGAAAATATACTTGTTTTCTCCAAGTAAATACCAGCTGACCTTGGAGAACAGAAGTTTGAAAGAAATTCCTCAAAAGGGGAAACATAATTATAAGAACAAGTGGGACTTTCATTTGGAAATTACAGAGTGCAGGTTTATCTAAGATTTTGCAAAAGTGAATAGCAGCCAAACTAACTTAGAAACAAACCTTAGGCCTTAGTGAAAAGCACCTACCTGGCTGTTTTATGAAAAATGTTGATAATGAGGAACCACTTTCTCCTAAGTATGTCAGTCATTTTGCATGCATAATTACTATTTCATATAAGCTGCTCTTTTGAGTGGTTTTGCTTTTCTGGCTCAGGGGTTTTAGTTTCCATTTCTGATGCTCACTAGTATATTAAACTCTATGAAAAATGTTGCCTACATTCAGGTTAGCTTTCTGTCACTTTGACAAAATATCTGAGAAATTTAAAGGAGAAAAGGTTTATCCAGGCTCCTGGTTTCAGGCCATGGCTTGCTGGCTGTGTTGCTTCTGGGCTATAGCAAGCAGAACATCATGGCCAGCTTGTGTGGCAAAGCAAAGCAGCCACCTCACGGCAGCCAAGAGGCAGCGAGGAACCAAGGAAGGGGCACAGAGAAGATCTGCCCTTCTAGGCTAGCCTCTTTCACTTACCTCAGCCTATACTTCTATCACTTCATAATAATCCTCTGAACCCATCTGTGGAGTTATTGGAATAGTAATTCATCCAGAGCTCTTGAGATAAAATCTTGTTTCATAGTCCCATTCTGCAACATACATGTGTTATGAGGAACATTTCAGAACCACATATAACATGATTCTGGAGAGTAGATCTATCATTCCTATTTTTCAAAAGTAAATAAAGTCTAGAGAAGTGGGGTAACATACTCACCATTAAGTACTGGAGCCAAGATTCACATTCAGGTTTGACTCTAACATGCATGCAACAACGCTACCCTATCTCACCACTTTGCTAACATAAACACCAGTTATGTAATATTAAAAACAAAATGACAGATGTCATAGCTCCAAAAAATGCAGAAAGCACCACAAACTGACAATAAAGCTACTAACAAGATAAAAACATACAGTTTTAATAAACAATGTCCATTGTATTACTCACATTCCCATCATAGGGACAAAATATCTGGCACCTGCAATTTAAAGATGAGCAGTTTAGCTTAGGCTCAGTTTCCCAGGGTTCAGTCTGCTGCTTCCAAGCACAGCACACTGAGAGGCATGTAGGAAACAAATTTGGAAGACAAGAAAACACCTTTCAGGTCACACCTTTAGTGATCCATTGCCTACCACCAGGCTCCACTTCTTAATGTGAGACTTTTGGGGAACATGTTAGATCTAAATCACAATATCCACCTTCTAGTTAAGACTCTGGATGGGCTGGAGATGTGGCTCAGTGATGGAGCTTTTTCCTAGCATGCATGAGGCACTGGGTTTGATCCCCAGTATATATATATACACACACACACACACACACACACACACCCCCAAAAAACCTGGAAATTGGCTGTATTTATTTTCTATAGGAAAAGACTCTTCACTAAGTGTATTTTATGAGCTACAGCAAGTTATTCAGAACACAGGTTTTTGCCACATATTTCTCTCTATTCTTTTTGATTCTTGTCTAAAATGGGATTCATCTGTGGTTAACTGTAGTGATACAAACAGATGCTATAAACACTAAAAGAGTTTAATACCCACGACCTACAAATCTCCAGAAAATGTTGGTACACATTCAAACCCAAGGGCCTATTTAGTTCTTTCACTGATTCTTAGGATCACAGTAAAACAGAGCACGAAGTACAGAATTTCTAAACATTCTGCTCCCTTTCACATGCAGTCTCCTCCACTGTCAATGTCTCCCAGTAGGGTGGTACACAGTGGTGCCTTCACATCCAAGATTTAATAGCTCACTTTTTCTTAGTGAGTATTGAATACAATGCCATTATATGGATATACCAGTTTATTCACCTACTGAAATTCATCTTGATTGCTTTCAAGTTTTGAAAATTATGAAAAAAGGTGCTGCAAATATAGTGTACAAGATTTTATGTAGACTTAAGTATTTAACACATTGGATAAATAACCAGTTTACTGTATCATGTACTAAGAATGCTTATTTTTTTTAAAAAACTGACAAACTGTTTTCCAAAATGGCTCTACCACTTCGCATTCCCATCAGAGATTGAGTTTATTTTTCCACTACCTTGCCATAATGTGCCTTAGTGTTTTTGCTTTTAGTCATTCTACAAGTAGTATCTCATTACTTTATATTCTTTTTAATTTTCGTTAATTGCAACATTTGGGAGATAAATGGTATATAATGGAACTATTGATGAAAACTACGTATATGTGGCTGAAAACCTAAACAGGCAGTCATTTTTCTAGTCATTTCAATGTGGTCTGTTTTTTTTCCTCAATGTCTTTAAATGAACTAGTGTCACAAGTTTTCCAACTACACTTTGTATACAGAGGAAAACAGAATTGCATAAAAATACTGAAACTGCAGAGGAGTAAGAAAGGAAAATCAATTACTAGATATTAACTATTAACTACGTAAAACTGACGATTAACGACACCTTCACACTGCAATGACCCCTGGATGTAAGACGCTTAGTGAAATCTCTGCCGCCCCAGTAGAGAAAGGAAAGCTGAGCACAATTCCTCCAGATTCACCAATCACCAAGCCAAGCATAAGAATGCTTATTTTTTAAAAATACACTTTAAATATAAAGTAATGAGATACTACTTGTAGAATGACTAAAAGCAAAAACACTAAGGCACATTATGGCAAGGTAGTGGAAAAATAATCTTACTGGAGCTGCTATAGGGATCACACTGTCCAGGCTTTGGGATTCTTTAACAGAAAAAAATCGCATTTCGTGAAGATTCAGAAGACTGGCCAGTGCAACTTTCAGGTCCATCTTGGTGTTCTCTGAACGCTCTTCAGATAGCCAGAGCAGAACGCAGAAGCCGAAGCTGTGCCTCCACAAGCACCCTCGCTCAGCACTGTATTTCAGTATGATTGTATACAACAGCCTTATCTTCGCTAGTGCAGCAGTTCCTCTTCAACTTGCAGACCACCACATCTTCCAACCTCGGCCGGAGATTTTTCTCGGGCTCCACTTGGCCGGAAGTGACGCCACAGCGCGCGGGCGGGGCGGGGCGCAGCGCAGTACAGCTCACTTCCGGCACCCGTCGCGTTCGCTCTCGCCGCGGCAGCCACTGTCGCTGCGGCCGCTTCCTCCATCCTGGTATTTTCAGAGCCTCCATCCTGGTTCTTCCCAAGTGCCCGGACCCAAAACAGGAAGTAAGTGCGATGGAACCCTCAGGTCCCGGCCACGGCCGCTCCGCCCCGCCCGCTGCCCGGCCCCTTCCCGCCCGTCGGCTGCGCAGCTATCTGGCTGGCTCTGGGCTCGGCGGCCTTGTCCCTACGCGGGCCGCGCCTCTCCGCGGGCTGGGCGGCGCGGAGAGCGCTGAGCAGGCGGGAAGGGGAAGATGGCGGCGCTCGTGCGCCGGGACCCCCGGGCGGGCGCGGGCCGGAGTTGTTCCGGGAAGGCTGTCCTCTGTTTCGCGGCGCGCCGAGCCGGATCCCCGGCCCCTCGGCGGCTCCGTGCCCGCTGTCGCCTTCGCCGCTGGCCCACACCCCCCCCTCCCCCCGGTGCTCAGTGCGGGGTCTTGGGGCGGGCGCGCCGAGCTCAGGGACCAGACACCTCTCCTAGCACTGCGCGGGCTCCCGGCGAGGTGACTGGGGGTCGCCCGGGACTCTGTGCTCAAACAGCACCGGCCGTGTTCAAAGTGGCCGCCCGTTTTTGTAACGCCACGGTATTGACGCGGGGGTGACGGGTGGGGAGTAGCGGGTTCCTGCCGGACGGCGCGGGCGCTTTCCGCGCACCCGTTCAGGCGCTACGGGGACAGCTGGGAACCAAACGCATACTCTGAAATCGTGTGACTAAGGCTCAGGAGAATGTCATTTGGGACTGGCTGACACCTGTGTCTGAGTCGTGCAACACCACCGCTTTTAGCTTTTTATCTCCAGTTCAAGTAAGAAAATCACCCGTCGCTGTATTCAAAGTTTACGGACACCAAGTCCATTTTTTCTTAGACCTTTTCGTCTCTTTCCGTTGCTAGTATTTCTTGAAGCTGGTTTTAAATTTGATTCAGATAACTTTTTGAGGACTATTATTTTAGTACTCTCACTCTGACGTTCAGACTCCAGCTGCGGTATACACAAGGTTTTAGTTTTTTATTAATAGTTGTATTGTTAAGATTTGATGTGACTGGTTAAGATTTAGAAGAAAAGTAAAATATTAAAGTTAACTTCCTTAACATTACAAAAAATTGTAGTGCTGACTTACTATCACTTTGATGAGAGTGTCAGGTTTTTCCTCCCACTTGCAAAGCACAAAAACTTGTTTCTTACTCCTGTGACTTGTGATGATTTTAAGTTCTGTGTACCTAAGATGCTTTTGTGCTCCACCAGACAAGCTAATCTTCCTCCTGCTATTTTAGTTGATAGGCTTACCCCCAAAATATGCGTTTGAGGTTTGATCTGGAACCTGCAGGTTCTGCGTGAATCGCTCTCTTGGATTGCCATTGTGTTAGGTGGTGGAGCCACAAAGTTATTTGCCCTGCCTTTACCAGCACTTAATCAATGGCACTGGGCATTGGATACTTAAGAGAGATTTAGGTGCATATCCAAGGCAGTTAAAGGAAAAATTATGTACTATATAAACGTTTTTTTGAAGAGAAAAGTTATTTTATTCCACTCAGGGTGTTTTAAAAGGAAGGAGGATATGTATTCACTTGATTGGTAGTCAACTACAGATTGCTTTTACTGATCACTTAATGGATTTGGAGGTCCTAAAAATAACATCTTATTATTTTGAACAGTTGCTTTTGTTATGCTTCGTTGAGTACATGGACTCAAATTAACACTTGTATTAGTGTGTAAACTATTAAACAAGTGTTCCTAAGGATTTACAGCTTGGTATATAGATCTTAAAATAAAGATATTGAGGACCTAGTTCATTTGTCTTAAATTTCCATACCTGTCTAGTGGAAAGACTTTAAAACAACAACATTTAGGGAGGATTCATTCCAGTTTTATATTTTATACCTATAAAGGCTGCCTAGTTAACACTGAGATGTTATCCTGCTTTATCAAAAGTTTTCCTTCTTAGTAGTTCATTGTAGCTTACCATTATAATTTTCAGCATGTTTTTCCGTATTGTAAAGATTCCCTAGAAATTGGGTCAGTTAAAAGCTTTTCAAGTTTCACTTTGAAAGCTTTTTCTGTTTGTAAATGACATGATCACAGAAAATGAAAAAACCCTTTGCCAAGGGTTAGTTATAAATAGGCATAAAATAATATGAAATATGTTTGCTTTCATAAATCATTTCTAAATGTCTTGAAGGTGTTTTTGTTTTGTGAAGAAATTTTTTGTAATAGCAGTCACTAATTGGATTTGCTTGCTTTATTCCATAAAGGTAAATAAAGTTTAAATACTCAGAAAAGTTTTTCCAATTTTTTTTTAAGTTTATGAACTTAAAAGATAGGTCATACTATGATTAAGTACTAGAAAGAAATCAGGAAAAAAAAACACATTGGAAAGCTGTTTATCAATGATTTAATTTTCTTTTCCTTTTGGTCATCCTATATTTTAAAATATCATTTTGGATATGTACACTATTGGGTTATTCTTCCAACCACCAGTGTTTTGTAGTGAAAGGAATAGTAGGTTTATGTGCTGCCACTGTGTGTAGTAGTATCTGATAAGGAAGTACACTTAAAAAATTAACCTGAGTGTAAATCAGAGGAATGTTGTAGTAATTTGTGTTTTCCTTTAAAGAGCTTCTGATGGTTCCTTGTGTAAAAGTGCTCAGATTTGAATGTGAAATTTCAGTGTAGCCATACACACATTATAAGCCTTTAAGTTGGGCACTGGGTGAAAAATAAATTTTTTGGGAGGCAGTATGGTATTATTGCAGGGCCAGGTATGAAGTCTTGTGCCTTAAAATGACCCATATTATTGGGTAATTGTTTTTACTCAAATAAAGACACACAATTCATAAGTCAAGTTGAAGCAGTTGAAATACGAAGTATAGTTAGATTCTATCATTTTAGAACCAAACCATAATGAACATGCTTTATGTTTATTTATCTCCTCAATTGTTTTCCACAAAGTATATAAAGGAACCCATTTCTAGGGGTCTGGAACCATAGTCTAAAGCTTTAGCTCTCAAGTGTGAAGTGTTCCTAATGGGAATTAAAGTCCATATTTATGAAGATGTTCTGTGACTTTTTCTGTTTCCTGACATCCTTGCATGTACCCATATTCAAGATGTAAGAAACCAGTTTTATCTGCCATGAAGATTTTTTATTTATTTTAAAATAAATATAGCTTAAAATAGCTTTCAAATCATTTATGCATTACTAGACAACTCCCCTTTTAACTTTTTTGGTGGGGGGGCACTAGGGATTGAACTCACGACCTCACATTTGCCAGGCAGGCACTGTGCCATTGAGCTGTATCAGCAGCCCTACATCTCTCCTTTTAAGTATTTCCCTAAAGGCAATCCTTATATGCAATAGTGGATATGGTGCTAATGAAAAAAAAATTTAATAACTCAAAAAACAAATATTCAGTAATATTTATTAGATAAATTTAGATATTATTTACTCTTTAAAATATACAATATAAACAAGAGTACTGGAAACTTCTTTCTTTGGTCTCACTGGTCCTTCTGGTCTTCTTTGCTTTTTGTCTCTTGACTCGGAAGTGCACTTTATAGAGAGGGCTCCAGAACTGGGATCTAGGCTGTGTTCTCCAATTGCTCTTGTATTTGCATGCCTCTAACATTTATAAGCATAATCCTACCCTTTTGAGTTCAGTTTAGCTGTCTGACTATAAACTTGGCATCTTCATTTGAGTGCTTTATATCTTACATTTATATGATAATGTTAATGTATGTAAATGGTTTTGTAAGGCTTAAATGTATCAAACTACTCAAATGATCAAACTCAAAGCCTTTGCACTGTCTTGAGAGAGCTCCCCTTCTCTTAGTCTGCACATCTTCATCATCCTTTGCTATCTCTTCTACAATTGGTGACACCTTCCCAAACTATAGTCAGCTTTTGGAAAACATGTCTTTAAGTTATTCCCATGCCCATTTTCCACACTAGTCATAGCCAAAAATGTAAATTATATTTCATAGTTTAAATAAAAGTCCTGTAAGGATTTTCAAGGCCTAGTGTGATCTGCCCCTAAGTGTGTTTTCTTGCTGTGAACTGCTGAAGCAGGATAACTTGATGAAGAAAAGACTGATTTAGCTCACAGTTCTAGAGGCTGAAGTCCACACACTTTGGTGCTGTCTCTGCCCAGGACCTCAAAGCAGTGGCAAGGATATGTGTGGGAGGATGTGAGCATCTGGCTCCTGAGGTCCCTCTGTCCTTGAGGACACCCCCAGCTGACCTCAGGACCTCCCATCAGGCTCTGCCCCTGGCAGCCTGTCACATGCCCCCTGCACCCTGAAACCAGGCTCCCTGCACAAGGCCTAGGAGGACAGACAACCTATACCAGAGCAGCAAGTGACCACTTGACACCTACCCTGAGCAGTTGTGTTTCTGGCTTAAAAGTTTCTTTGAGAATGGAAATGGCAGGGTTGCCAGAAGTAACCTCATAGGTTAAAACAATAAACTTGTGCAACCTTTTTGGAAACCAGATTGTATCATTAAGAGTTCTAAATATTGTTAGGTCCTTAGATCTAGTTTTTAGTTACTAATTTAGTAAAAGAAATAGATTGTCAGAGTTTTTATTTCAGATTTAGGAAAATTAAAAATTGAGGGCAATATAAGTGTCCATAATGAGGGAATTCCTCATGTCACCTTTTTTTTTTTATCGGTACCGGGGATCGAACTCACAATGGAGCGCTTGCAAGGCAGGTGCTTATGCTGCTGAGCTAAATCCCCAGCCCCCATGTCATATTTTTTATGCTCTTGGAGATACATACCTTTTCCACTACAAATTTATTTATGTACAGTAGTTTTCAGATACAGCCATCCTGGCAAAGCGTTCCCATTAGAATTTTGCAAAAATGGAAATTTGAGTCTTAACTTTTGCTGAAACATCTCTGAACTTTAGATTCTATGCCTTGTTTAATAATTTGGCTTTTGGGGATAAAAATGAAAAGACT